CTTAGTTATCGTTTACTTTCGTAAATGATATTTTGATAAAAACTTAAAATTTTAGAATAACATTAAATTTTATTTCTCTTAATAAAAAATAGAGGTTTCATTTGAGATTCGTCATGAGACAATTCTCGCGACCCTTACTTTCTAGGGAACTACTCACACATGATTAACTGTAAAGTGAATAAAGCATACATAAAAATTGCATACATGATCAAAGAAAAACAATAAAAATAAGAACCACGATTAAAGCAAAAGAGACTTTAAATAAAATAGCTCCAAGGGAGTCTTGAGTATGAGTACTTGATAAAAGAGAAATTGCAAAAGAAAATGAACTTGTAAGTAAACTAAAACTAAAGGCATAATATAGTGTTGTTTCTCTTTAATTCCTAGTATAAATAGGCCAAACTTCTGATTACAAGCATTCATCATTTTCGTGCCCTCCTAGGGACACTTTATTACAAAGAAAAATAGTTGAAATTTCAAAAGGCAAGAGAGATGAACCATAAAAAATGAACAATTTTGTAACCACCTGCACAAGGTCGATCCAACAAATTTAGAGACCTAAAGAAAATTTTAAATAAAACATTTTTAAAATAAAAGTGTATATGTTAATAAAACCTATATTAATTTTTATTTTTAAATAAAAAACCATCAATAAATTTCTTAAATTATTATTTTCTTCAATTAAGTATTTAAATAATATAAAATTAATTAATAATTTCTAAGAAATATATTAATTTTATTAATTTAATCCTTAATAAATATTAAAAATTATCATATTACTTTTTATCATCTTAATAGCGTGAATAATATTTACTAATTTTATATACTTTTTGAGCTACATAATAAATATAATCACTTATTGTATTATATAAATTTAAAAATTATATTAAAAAGAGAATATTATTTTAGAAATTTAATTTATAATTATTTATTAAAAATATTTATTTGTGTGTAAATAATAAAAGATTTTAATTAATTTTTGAGCAAATGAAAATAGATAAGATACTAAAATCAAAATTACACATAATTTTCTCAAATAAAAAATAAAACACAACTATACTATTTTACGATATTTTAAAATAAATGATTAATCATATCTTTTATATATGTATATTAACCAATTTATTTGGAGACTTTTTTTATAACCTAAAAAAGTGAGCGGGTTTGTGCCTATATGCTATGACCACCTATAGCAAGTTTCTGATCTTTGTATGAAAAACACTTTAAAAGTTACTATGGCCCGTAGCCTGTGTTACGACCATTCGTTGTAGCTCTTTGAATTTTGTATGGAGAATTTTTTAAAAATTTTGTCACATTTTGTTCCTCTCAACCTCTCTTTTATTCGGGACACTCTTTTCAACTTGAAATCAGAGAAAATACACAACCACACATAAAATAAGATAATAAACAAGGATTTAGCAGACAAAAGCGAAAGAAAAACAACTAACAAATCAACATTAGACTAAGAGATAACCATCCTTATGCTCAATCATGTTTCTTAAAGAAAGAAAAGACTAAAAAAAAACCTCCTAGAAACATTAGAAAAATACTAACTAACATTCAATCATTTAAAAATACATACCACCCAAATAAGATAATATTATAAATAACAAAGAGATGAAAAATTAACTCAACTAAAAATACATAAGAGAAACGTGCGATCTTACTAGATTTTTCTTGCAAAAGAACACTAACGTCTCTTAAATAGATTTTCCTATAACTGATGTTTATCTTGAAGAAAAAAAAACCAACATATTAGATTTTCTTTAGACAAGTTTCTAATTAGTTTTTCTAAAAAACAAAAGGCAAGGTTATGGGGGTAGGCTTGTGCAATTTTTGTGCTTTATAAATCAAGTTTGATAAGTCAAGGAAGATTTCATTATATCCGATGTCTTTGAATTTAATTGGATATCTGCACTCTTATCAAATACTATTATTCAATACCACGTCACTTTTTTATTTTTTTATTTTAAAATAAATTAAAATTTTACCACAATTTACGCTGATAGTCAGTATCCAACTTAAATTCATGAGTACTAAAAAATTTATGTTAATGGTAATGGATACCAAAAAATTTACCTTAATGTTATTGCATTTTGTGACTATATATTTTTTATAAATTAAATTGTAAAACTAAACAATATATTAGTGGCAGTATTAACTTAATATTTCAAATACTAAATAACACAATATTTATAATGAGTTATTTTAATGATATATTTATGATATATAATATTCATTATATTTTAATATATATATGTGTGTGTTTTTTTTTTTATAATAGTTTTAGGTCTATAAAATGAGTTAATATGGACTAAAATGAGTAAAACAACATATAACATAATTTTAAAAGTTGGATCTTAATTTTTGCTGAGAATTTTTTAATACACCTTTATAAATTTATAAACATGAAGTAAATCTCTAAAAATTTTAAATTATTTTTTGGAGATGCAACTCTAAAGACATTTTAAATTAATGTTTTAGAAATGTATCTCCAAAAATCTCTATGTTTACACTTATTATTATTTAAATGTTGAATTAAATATTTAGTGGTATTTTCAGATATGTTTATCTGAAAATATTGTTGTTATTTCAGCTTGCTGTATGTTATCCTAACCACAATTTCATTCTCTTCATTTATCCCAAAAACCAAAACCTATCAAAAAACTTCAACCATTTTCAATAAACTTTTCGTCTCCAAACCATGTTTCAAGTATTTTTATCATATCAAAGAGAGCATAGAAAGTTACAATTTAAAGTAAACTTTCTTCATTTTATCTCTCATTTCTTTGCATTGATGTTGAGTTTCCGATAAAAAAAACAACGTCACTTCGGATATGCATATCTGAAATCCACCTAGTATATTTTGGATATGCATATCCGAAACTATTTGTTACAGAAACAAAACAGAATTTTGTTTTAACAAATTTTTTATTTTTGCCCGTTTTAGATATGGTGCACCCAGACACATTGAAAGAATCGTAGATGTAGGGGGTGATGGTAATTGCGGGTTCCAGACCGTGTCTAGTTTACTTGATAAAGGAGTGGAGAATCACACTCTTGTGCACCAAACACTTATTTCAGATTTGACATCGCATATGGAACTTTATACATGACTATATGGGAAAAAGGAAGAAATAGATAAAATTCACAATATTCTTGTTCCATGTGTTAGCGGTTCCGTACCATTTGCAACGTGAATGTGCTTCCCTGATATGAGCCATTTTATAGCAAGTGCATATGACATGGTGTGTATCGATTTAATGTGATATGGTTTTTCGGAGACATTTTTCCCACTTTGGAGTTGTCCACTTCAAGATCCATCTGGCGCATAATTTGTATTGAGTATCTTAGATCGCTCCATTTTGTTCAGGTTTATTTGAAATTGAGGTGTCCTATTTCAGCTACACCACTGGAGTGGACGACACATTCCGCAAAAGAGGTGGAAACTTGGCCATATCACTTTTTGGAAAGGATGACAGAGTTCACCAAATTGACGGATTTTGAGAGAGAATCAAATATGGAGAAGTCAAAGAAAGAACCAGTTTTAGATTTAAGTGGTGACAATTCACTCGGTGCATTTTAGAATGTAATTGAACCATATTTTGAATGTATTGTCGTGCACACTGTCAATTCTATACAATTCAATACATATATAATATATTTATTCAACATTTTACCGCTGTTTACTTTTACTAATTTTTTTCACGTTTCTATGATACTGATTATGCTAAAACAGAATCTATTACTGATTCTACATAATTCAAATAACTTATCTGAAATAACCTTCATTTAAAAGAAAATGAATTATTTCGGATATGTGTGTCCAAAAATTACTATTTAGCGGCTTCAAATATGTATTTCCGAACATATTAAATAAAAAATTGAAATGTGATGAATTCGAATATACATATTAAAATTAATGAGTATTATGAGAATTTCTCAAAAGCTATTAAGAACCCTTAAGAATGTATTAAGAAATTCTATTTTTGCTATTATTATGAGTGGAGTGGTGTTTGATAATCAAGTTGCTTACCCCACACTCTTTCACCGTGTCATACTGTCATGTCATGTGCTTGTTTCTCAACAAATTTCTCCAATGTCATTTCATCAAATCTTTATACCAAGTTTTAGCAAATTTTCAAAGAATAATTGATAGCTGTTTTTAACTATCAAACAAAAACTTCAAAATCAAAATCAATGGAAAATGTTCATATTACAATCTCTCCCCAGTCTAAGAAAAAATAGTGTTATTTTCTAAAAATGGAAAATGAAAGAGATGTCAATAACCTATTGTATTGTTATTATTACCCGTTTATGTTATAATATTGGTAGTTACGTGAAAACAAAGTTGTGGAAAAATCCAAAATTTTCTTTATTCAAAACAATAATAACACAGCTCACAATCACACCTCCAAGAAACCAACTCAATACACAATTGTAAAGTAGTAGAAATTGGAGGAAGAAAAATATTTTAAGCAGATCAATTATTTGAACATAAATGGAAAGAAGAGTATGAGACGTTACCACCATTTCCACAAAAAATTGATTTAAATATAAAAACAAAAAATTACAGTTTTAAACTGCAAACCATATCTTAATCAGTTCGATTTGATGAATCAATTTGATCTAAACCAATCTTAAACTGTTTCAACGAAATAAGCTATTTAATTTGATTTATTGCTAAATTATCAACCGACGGAATTTTTGTTTGAGCAGTAAGCCAAATGGAAAATTAATATTGATGTAATATATTGTGCCACTAAATAATCAACCAGGAAAATTAATATTGATGTAACATATTGTACTAGGAGAATTAATAGTAGTAAAGATAATGAAATCCCAAAACAGAAACTTCTTATTATATATCTAGAGTTCAACTTGTGATATAAGAACAATTCATAAATGTCTCTAAAAACATCTTAATACCGTATAAACTCCTCCTCCTCATGAAGTTAAATCCCTCAGTACTACCAACTGAATGCTACATGATCACTCTTTCACATTGTCTCATCATCTCTGCAAAGAAAAATATAACACATGAACATGAAAATAAATTATGTGTCAAAGGAATATCGATCAAATAATTTACCTGATGCGAATTTGCAAATTGCGCTCCATCTTAGCTTTGACGGTCTTGAAAAATGTCGATATAGTTGAACTCTTCTTCTTTCCTTGCATCACACTAAGTTTGGTTGTTTCCGAATACTGCTCAATTTTCTCAACAACCAGAACTCCTTGTATATTTTTCCCTTTGGTAACCAAACAACTCAAACCAGCATCGGATTCATCTTTATTAGGAATCTGCAATAACATGTAATCTCCAACAAGATTCTCAAGATCCGGTATTTTCTCCGTCATTGTTCCATCATCCCAATAGCCCTTATAAATGGTTCCATTTGAAGATGTGTATTTTCCTTTGCCATGAAGAAATTTGCTTTTGAAATTACCAATGCAGACATCCCCGTTTGCAAATCTATAAACTCCCGATCCATGTCTTAGCCCGTTTGACCAGGAACCATCAAAAACATCACCATTAGCCCACTTCATAACCCCTTTTCCACTTTTTTTATTGTCTTTCCAATTTCCATTGAAAATACTTCCATCCTTCCAAGTGTATGTGCCATTACCACGAGGACAACTCCTAGAGAACTTCGCCTCATAATTTGTTCCCGACGGCCATGTCAGCAATCCTTTTCCGGTGATTTTTCCATTAACCCAATCACCCTCATATATTATTACATCATTCGACCCTGTGCTCTCTCCTTTTCCATGAAAAAAGCTATTCTTGAAGCCACCCGTATAGATATCACCATTCGCAAATCTACAAACTCCAGACATTAACACTCCATTCGACCAACAACCATCTAAAACATCACCGCAAGCCCACTTCACAGTCCCTCTTCCATCTTTTTTATTGTTTTTCCAATTTCCAATGTAGACACATCTATTTTTCTCCGCTTCGTTACCAAGACAATCGTTCTTAGAGACTTCGCCCTTAAACTTTTTCCGGCACGGCCATATGATCCGTCCTTTTCCTGATTTCTTTCCATCAACCCAATCACCCTCGTATATTGTTCCATTCGACCATGTATACTTTCCCTTGCCATGGAAAACTTTACTCTTGAATTCACCAAAGTAGACTCCATTGAAAAAGGACTTCTCTTTAAAACTACAATTTACAAGAAACCATGAAACCATAATCTAAACAAAATAGAAAGACAAGTAATGATTTTATGAATATTACCTTCCATTGTTTTCCATGATTTGCAAAGTTTCACCAACAAAGCTTTCTCAGAAACATTATAAATAATTAGTCTCAAAACACAACCAAACAAAAACAATTATGAATAATATTTATGAGCATCATATCATAACATTTTTGTTTTAAAAAAAAAAAATCTACATCACATAACTGATTAACATTTTCTTCCATTATTGTTTAACTATGTATGCCTTTAATCCTTCCAAAATGGGGGAAAATAGTGTTGTTACTTGTTACTGTTACTATTAAAAATAATTAAACTAAACTAAAAATAATGCTAACAGTGCAGATTTCTACAAAAACAAAAGGATAACTAATAAGAAATAAATGAAAGAGAAAAGAGGTATACCAGTTTTTCTGATCTTCTTTTCTCCTCCGGATTTTCTGCCTTTTCTATCATTCTCTGCATCTTCTATTTATAATCACATAATTTAGGGTTTATAATTTAGGAAACAAAATTTCACACTGTTTATTTACACAAAATATCACATTATTACTAATTAGAGTAAATATATGTATTTATATTTTCGTTTATAAAAATGTGTTTTAATGGACTGGTTTAAAGTAAGGGTGGACATCGGTCAGTTTGAGCTGGATTTGGGCCCAATATGTCAAATCATGTAAAATCATGGATTCAAATATTAGGCCCAATTTCGACCAAAGTTGTAATCGATTTGATCGGATTCGGTTTAATCGGTTTATCGGTTAAAATAGATCGGTTTGTTCGGTTAATTAATATTAAATTGTTATAAAAAATTCAATTATATCTTAATTTTTTTAATTAAAACAATATTAAATAATAAATATAAAGCAATAATAAAAATAATAAATGACCCAATTTAACACTATTTTACATTCTAATTTACACTGTCTTCTAAATAAACTATGATCAAATTGTAAATTCCAAATAAGCTATGATCAAATATTATATCAAAATAATACATTCAATTTTGGACATAAAGTCTATAAGGTAGTTTTTGTAGATGCCAACATTAAAAGAAAGCTTAAAATACACTATTATAAATACTTAAATTACATTCATCCTTCATATATAAATTAACATTAAAAGCCAACATGATGACACAACCAACACTAATTATAATTTTTGTTCACCATCATATTTCCAGCACTTAAACACCCATCGTAAGCTGCAAGAGAAGAGAAGTGTTCCACTGTAGTTTTAATTAATTTACATGCAAACAAGGAGTCACAACCAATATAGTCAAGCACGAGATCTTAAGTAGGATCAGTCAGCTGGTGAAAGATCGTAAAACTAGGATCGTAACATGGCACATAAGATCCTACCAAGGGAAAAATTACAATACAGAGACAAAACTACCTATAAATCACCACACTGACAAATTTAATTAATAATTCATAACCATCACTCCATAACTTAACAAGTTCAAAAGACTAGGATCGTAATCGTTCAATTCCAATTCATCCTATTTCATCGTTTTCCATCAATCTGGACATAGAGCATATGCATTAAATGTCCATGATTCAATCAAATAGATCAAATTTTAAACTCATAACTTACTTATGGTGATGGCAGTGAAATAAATAAACTATTTCCAAAAAAGCCAGGCTAATAGACATAACCAGACAGCTAGCTAGTATAAGACATAACCAGACAAATCAAATAGAAGATATTCATACCAATGACATTATCATAAGAGGGGAAGCACCAAATGTATGCCTGGAGTAAAAAGAAAAACTGAACTAGTGATACTATTGACTCTGCGTATGTTATAATGTTTCGATCTCCCATTATCCCTTGGTATTTATTTGCACACCATGGTTACTAATTATTCTACTATATCGCATCAAGATAACCAAATCTTTCCTTAATTTTCACTTTAAAGTCCTTCTTATCCTTTTTAAAAACATTGACTATCTATCTATATGAATTATCTTTTTTCTATTTTCATCTTCACTTAATATCAATGTTGTCAATGGCAGATTTCAGAAGGCCAAAAAGCCGCAGCATAAACATACCATTGCAATTGAGTCCTATGACACCCCCATGGCAAGCATCCCTTCACAAATTGCCAAGCCATTTGGCCATTTTACAACACTGCCTAATAGTTATCAATCAATTGTTTTGAACTATTGGGTCGAGTAGCTTTATATTGTGAGCATATAGCCCGTGCTTTTACGGGCAATGCATGGCTGCTACAAACAGATAATTGCTTCAATGGAAAATGCAATGAAAAATGAATAAGCTCTAAACAATCTTGCCTTAGGTGTTGCTCGATCAACCACCACAGCAGAACCTCCGAGTTCATGGGTTTCTTTCATCAAGTTCTCTACAGAATCTGCAACACAATATGTCCCGAAAAATAAATATGAAGTCCGATACTCAACTCAAACAAAGATCTGTGTGTATGTATGTAAAAACAATTTCAGGTCCAGTGAAAACAGATGCTGGAATATTTAATGATACACTCTTTATTTTATTTACTTATAGCAAGAAAAAGGTTTAGCGGCCCTGTATCAGAACTCAGAAATACTCACAAAATTGTTTTTTGCCAATATTATCAGGATACTAGTTAACTACTAACACTAGTTAATTATCTACGGTTTTAAGTTAAATAAAATTCAAGGATAGTTACGGCATGAAAGTCTATAAGCTAAAATATGCAGATAGTTGTAGCACAGACAAATAATGATGGCCAAACCTGCACTTGCAAAAGTGATAAAACCAATTCCTCGATGAGTTTTAGATCCTCGATCCTGTTGGAAATAAATGATAAAATGTCTAGAATTAAAATAAATAAATGTCAATAAACATTATATATGTCTATGCATAATAATGCAGTGTAATCGTATAACTAACAACTGCAATCAACATTATGTGTATACATACAAAGAATGCATAAAACATGCCAGCCGCATTTTAACTTTACATGTTCGACCATTGAAGTGAGGAAAGTACCTTTGGCATATACAAATCTGTTATATTACCATATTTCTCAAAATGACTGCAAAGGGGGGAAAATAGAAAGAAATATATTAAAATTGTAAATAATGCACTCATTTCCACAGGATCATAGATTATTATATGAGAACTAGACTACGTCCACAAAGAAGAAAATACTCCCAATTACTTTAATGAAGAAATAACCCTCAATATACCTCCTAAAAGTTGCTTCTGTTACTGATTGGGCAATCCTTGCCACAAAGATTCTGGTAACCTTTTTGACCGGTGCCCTCATCTCCTCCTTTAATTTTAAAAGGAAAGCATGCCAAGAATCAATAGTACAATCCACAACACCATCACAAAATCTCGTATAACTTGTAAGTCTACCAGCAACGCGATAGACTAGAAGTTAATAATTATAATTTTATATTATGTGTTAAAACCTTTGGTGTGGCCACTTTGACTTCCAGTATCATGTTGCCAAGATTGTGTTCACTAGATAGCACGTTCTGCATTTAGAAGTGATGCAACTTGGGATTTAGCATATTCAAGCTACCTTCTCATATAATAGTAATACCAGCTAATAGGTAGGTGTGTTTTTGTTTGTAAAACAATTACCTTAGCATCATCCACTGGTGTAAATGTAACATATCCAAAACCGCGAGACCGGCCAGTTGACCGCTCCTAAAATACATAAATCATAAATTTAAAATGAAAAGGAAGCAAGAATAACAGGGAGAAAAAAAAGAAGAAAAAAACAATAGCTAACCTTTATAATATAACAATCTTCTAGCTCACCAAATTTGCTCATATATTCTTTCAAGCCCTCAGTATCAACGTCCCATGGGATACCCATAACCTAAGATACAATTCTCATGAGCACAATAAGTTAAATTCGTAATTTTTCAAAGCAAGATTTTCAAGAACAAGATTTTCAAGAACAAGATTGAACATGCATGACTAACCACAAGCTTTCGCTGCTCCATGAAAAAATTCAATTAAGCTCAATGAAACGCAATCTAAAGCTGCAGAATGTGAAAACCCTAAAACTTGAAAAATAAATATGAAAAAAATCTCTCGAACTCTTCTTCGTGAATCTCTCACCACTCTCTCACTAAATTCCTCACACTCGCTCCCTGCAAATAACAAAAACGCTTCTCTCACCACTCGGTTTGTGTATTACAGAGGTAACAGAGGGAGAAGGAGAAAGAGATAAAGAGAGAGAAGGAGAAAGAGAACGACGAAGAACTTACTTGATCACTGGTGGTTCGTGGTGGCCGACGTGGTGGCATGGTGGTGCTTAAGAATCGTAAACGACGACGGTGGTAGAAGACGGCGTGGTGAAACCCTAGCAGTAGAGATTAGAGAGAGTGAGAGACTGAAACTGAAATGAAATAGAAAATCAGTAACCTAGGCGGTCGGTTTTGGATTTCGATGGACCCAAACAAATTATCTGAAACCGACCGGTACAATCCATATGAATCCATTTCTTGCAAAACCGATTATCCGATAACCCGTTTGACCCGAACCGCTTACTACCGGGCCCCTTGGGTAGGTCGGATTGAACCGGTTTCTTTATTTTTGTCCAGCCCTAGTTTAAAGTATGGACTGGGTTTTAAAGTATGGATTTCAAGCAAGTTTAAGAAGATTTTAATTTGACACTTCCAATTTTTGTTATTTTTGAAATACCCTTGTTGATTTGAGAAGAATTTTTGGACGAAATTTCGGATAGAATAAGTGAAATTTTCGATATAAAGGAAATTTTTGGTAGATCAATATTAAAATTCTGGTACTTAACAATTTCTGATAGTTCATATGAAATTTTCGGTACATTGGAAAATTCAAATTTACGAGACAGTACCGAAAATTTCAAATATAGTGAAATTTGAGGTAGTTTCATAATTCAAGTTTTTATAACGATCAAGATTTTATCGATAACTTTGGAGGGTTCTGATTGCACCGACAGATTTGTGTGGTCTAGAATGCATTGCCATTTGTATAAATAGGGGCATATGTTAGAGACAAAGACATCTAAAAAAATGCCTCTTTCACAATTTCTAATTAAGGCAGAAGTGTATTTTAACGAAAACAATTCTCCCGTTGAATTCAAGCTTCCAGATGGCGTCACATTCCTCGCCAATTTGACAGACAAATTGAATGAATTGGTGCCTAATATCGATAACAGAAGGGTGAGTAAGATCGAGTTTCGGGAATATTGGATTGATACAGATGGTTGGGTGAAATATAACCTGATTTAGTTGAAGACCGAAGAAGATGTTAAGGCCATGTGGAAATCAATTCGGCGTAGGATAACCAAGGATCCGATCGAGTTGGATGCGCGGATAACAAGATCCGTCGACAACATAGTGAAGGTGCTAAAACGTCCAAAATCATATGATAGTGCCTAGGTTTTCATGTTTAGATGTTTTTAATTTATGTTTGTTGTACTGTTTTATGTTATGTTCATCTTCGAATAAAAAAATGTAATCGTCAAAATATTATGCAATAAATAAGAAGTCTCTGAGCCTCAAAATATACAAATAATACAACCAAAATATAACAGATCTACATACGCCTCCCACAGGCTACGTCCACTAACCTAGCTAAACTTGTATAAATCTCACCATCAGGGTTTACCAAACCCATGAGGTTGTCTAAATGAAGAGCAATATATTGTAGGTGGCTATCCTAGTCACATGCAGGTGATGGAGGTGGTGGTGGCGGCACGTGAGAAACCCTAGCACGTGAAGACTCTGGTATATTAGAAATCCTAGTCGATGATATGACCCGAGGGTGTGATATGATGTGATAGCACTCCAGGTATCCATCATCGCACTGTCCAAGATCCTAGACCATAACTGTTGTATCCCTGATCTCATGGGTAGAGCTGATGATGTGACTTTAGAACCACCTATCACAGCCTCCTCAATAGCCGACTCCACCACAACCTCAGTAGCCGACACATCCTCAAGACCAGGCACATCCTTAGCAGTCGGCTCCACCACAACCTGATCATCCACAAGAGCAGGCACATCCACAAGAGTGAGTGTCTCCATAAGAGCAGGTACTTCCACAGGATCATGTACCTCCTCAGTTGTAGAAACTCTAGCAGCCCATCAACGGGGTGTGCAGAATTGCGCCTGCTGCTCAGCCAACCGTTTTCGATGAGAACTGGTCGGAGGACGTCATCCTACACGTAGCTCGAATGCTTGTATCTCATCAACGGGCCTGAGCTTCCGCTCTATCATCTTCCTGCCTGCAACAGTACTATTTTTTTCCCCCGATCCTCACTGAAACAATCAAAAAAACAATTTTAAAAAATATTGAGCTATCGAAAATTTCTAAATTTCCGGTATTTTTTTATTTAAAAATGAACTACGAGAAATTTACAAATTTCTGGTAAACAAAGTGAACACCCAAAAATTTCAAATTTTCTGATAAAGAACGTAACAAAATTACCGAAAATTTAGAAACTTTCGGCACGAAATAACGGAAATTTCTAAATTTCCGTTACAAAATACTGGAAATTTTCTACAAAATACCGTAAATTCTTATTCTTTCACGAAATTTCCGATATGCCCACAAAATTTCTGGTATCGCCTTATAAATTTGAAATTTTTGGTGTGGAACTAGAAACTTAAAAAATGTGTGAAAAATCTTGATTAGACTATTTTCATCTTTTCATTTATTTTGAAGATGCCAAATTCAAGTAGGGGTGTCAGATTAAAACCTCCTATATACATTTCAAAAAGAAATTTTCTGATTTAATATTTTAAAGTTAAATATTTTTAATACCCATGAGTTTAAGTTTGATATGAATACCTTTAGTGCAAATTTTATAACAATTTTAATTTATTTTAAAATAAAATAAAATAAAAAATAAGGTGACATTCAATTATATTGTTTAAGTGATTAAGCATATTGATACCAAATTAAATCTAAAGGTAATGAAGTGTTTATCTATTTTAAAATTAAAATATAAGTAGATTTTATTTGAAACAAAAAATTATGTAGAACAACTTTTTTAACTTAAAACTAAATTTTTTAGACAATACACTTATTTTGTTATTTAGTATATTTTAATTAGATTTTGTTCATTTATTTGAATTGTATTTTATATTATTTATTGTGTATTTAATTATATTTAGAATGTTAATTTAAAGAACGGATTTGTCAAATTACGATATTTTAAAATTTGTTACTGTGTTGTAATTTTTTTAGAGATTCGATCATCTAATTCGATCAATTCAATAATTATATAATTTTGCTAAGTAAATCGATGAGATCACAATTTCACATGGCCAAGATCTTTGCATAAATAAATAAGATACTTTTGAGCATGTAAGTATATCTAATTATATTAAACATAATTTTCGGATTAGAGATTCATCATCCTTAATGCAACAACAATTAAGATACATAAAGGAAACCATGAAAGATCAAATATTTTCATACATAAACTCCTCTTTGCTTGTTTCAATCTTAATTTATCTTGCCTTTTGTTTTTATTACTATGTGGCTTTTCTGAGCACTATAATTTTCTCCTTAATTAGAACTCCTTCCTTATATTCCCTTTCACAAATTTTACAACTCATACCAGGTGTGTTAGATTGACATTCACTAATTGGGGCTTTTTTGAGAAACTATAATTAATTCATGATTTTTGAATTCTTATAATTAAGAATGGTACACAGCTTCTTTAGTAGATATGACTTTTTACTATGATAAGGATAGTAGAATGTTCCTTTTCCATATTTTAGGCCATTACTTCATGTCCCAACATAGATTCTTCTATTTGCAAACCTATAAATTCCATATCCATTTCTATGTCCTTTTGAACAACAACCATAAAAAAACATCACCCTCGACCCACTTCATAATCCCCCATCCATCTACTTTATCTTTTTTCATAATTCCAATGTAATACTTTCGTTCTTCCAAGTATGAGTTTTGTTAGAATGACTATTTACAGAATTCTCCCTCATACTTTGTTCCTGATGTCCATGTGACCAATCATTTTCCTAACATGTTTCCACCAACCTAATTACCCTCGTATCTTGTTCCATTTGACAATGTGTATTGTAACATCCTGAACTCAGTTAATTTATTTAACTGAATTTTGTTGCATTATTTAATTATTTAAAATGTCTTAATATGTTTTTAATTAATTATTTGGTGATAATATGTGTTATATGGTGATGAGGGATTGTTAGAATTTTAATATGTTATGTGGTGATTAAGAATTATTAGAATTATTAGAATTTTATTGTATTATTTAATTATTAGAATACTGGATTTTATACATGTTAATTTGGTTCAATTTCTAAAGTTGATCTTAACTTTGAATGTGTTTTGGTGAAAAACTTGAGTTCATGGTAAATTAATGGATTATGTGTGAAATTAAATATTAATTGATGCAAAAAAATATAGTATGATAGATGGATAACATTTTCTATTTGAATTAGGTGTCTAGAAATGAAAATCGGAGCTTTGATTGAGTTCCTATGGCCAAAAACACACGTTCTGCCTTCTGGTTCAGGGTGACAGTCACCCTCGTTATGAGAGAGACTCGGTCATGGTTAGGAGTGTTCAAAACTAAACCGGCTCAATAGAAAATTACAAAATTGAACCGAACCAAATTGAAATCACAAAAAACCGCATTTGGTTCAGATGTGTTTGAGTTATTTTCTAACAGAACCACGCGGTTCGATTTATGCGGTTTGTATTTTGCAAATCAAACCAAATCAAACCGCATTATGTTATTAAATCTTACTAACCAATATATATTTCGTTAATTCTTTAGAAAAATCAACATGTATTATGTGTATATTTTATCATATTCTTTGTTGATATTTATTTTAATTTACAAATCATAAAAAAATGAAATATTATTCATTTATAAATACTATTTTCATAAAATATATTTATCGTATTCTTTGTATAATAATTATTTAAGAATGCAATCTTATGTATATCATTCTTTAAA